GGAAAAAACGCGTTTAAAATTTAAGTGGACGTATATTTATATGAGTATTTGTTCAAAAGCAAAATTCTTCTACTCTTCATATGTCATATAAATATATGTAAAATTTTCATTCTTGCACACTTATTCAGTTCGTCACAAAATCATTATCAAAAACGCGCACGATTTTTCAGCAATCTGACTGTCCAGTCCCCTTAAGGTGGAAGTGCGTTGCGTATACGTGTCCTTTGCTACATTCCGCCCACTTTAAGTTTAGAATTTAAAACGCGCCGGTACATCCACGCACCGGTTTTCTTTCTCTTGCTCGTCTCTCCCTCTCGGGGACGACATCTCCCTCGTCCTGCGTCGATATTATTTCGTTCTTTTATTCAAATGCAATTCGTGCCCAAGTACAAGTGGCTGTTCGAGGCTGCGGACCACGGCGGGCGCGTCGTTGCGCGTCTGTCTCGCGCGAGCCCACGCCCAAGCTGAAGAAACGGCTAGAAATCCCGGCGCAGGAATTATGGACTAAAATTAAATCCGTCGCGGTTTCCCTAGATCTTATATCCCGCCTGATCCTTTTACGTCTCTTCTCAAATCCTTGCGAAATCTCTTTCAAACTCCGCCGGCCTGGATATTCGGAGGCATGAATCGGCGATAGCCGAGTTTTCGCTCTCCGACGCAGACACTTGGCGCATCCGAATGAATCCCAAAGAATCCCCGTGCCCCGTGTGTGAGTTACGCGTTGTTCCTCGAGAATGTCGCGTTCCGACTTTCGCGCGTCTCCTAATCTCGCGAATCTAACGACACGGGGAACTTTCGGTTGACGGGATACACTCGAGAATACACGACTCGTCGACGTACATGTATCTGCAATGTTTGCACATCATCTCCTTTCCGTATATTTATAATTCTGTGAAATCAATTAATATATTCCAAATTTGCCAACAGGTTTTCAGTTTTCAGATATTTAAAAATCAGCCCACAAAGTTCCATTATTATTATTATTATTTTCCTTTTCCTCCTCAAAATAGCGCTTTATCATTCGTTAAAAAGCTCGAAACTCATCATTCGTATTCCAGATTCAACTTGAGCTTTCTCACTGGTATTCAACACAAATGAGTCTTCACTTCAACGCGGATTCAGAAACCGATGCGTTTTGGATTCGGTCAACTGCGCTGCTAATTAGCCCCGATTCACCGAAGAACGCTTTCGCACGCTGTCGATAAGGAGCGCACGCAGCGATTATCCCTTTTCCTCTGGTTTTCGTCCCACGTCGCTGCGGCGTCCGGAAGAGGGGTTATCGAGGGATTGCATCGATCCGCGCTCTCGATCGGCCCGGCGCTACCGCCGGGGACTCCCCCACGTGCCGAGAGGCGCGGCGCGACACACGACTGCAGAACAATGGGCGCCGCATTCCGCAGCGCTATTCCGGAAGAGCATTCCTCGCGCGCCGCGGCGCGCCACGCAGAGAGCCTCGTTCCCACGTGCGGCCTTGTCCCCACCCCGAGGTCGTTCCCACACCACGGCTCGGATAAACATGGCTCTGACCGCGGCCACGCGATCTCCCCCCACCTCGTGCCTCAGGGAGACAAGTGCAGCGCAAAGCAACACGGCGCGCGCGAGCAAGTGTGTCACCACCGCTTGGCTGGCGCGAACCCGAGCCGACAGCTGACGTCAATGCGCCGCGACTTTAAACGCCCGTAACTCGTCGCTGTGTCGACATGGGGCGACATGAAATAAAAACCAATCTCTTTGGCGAACGTTCCCTCACGCGTCTATGCTACTCGTTCGATTTGAGGGAGGGCGAACCGTTGAACCGTTCGCGGCCAGTTGAAGCAGAGCGAACGCGCGTATAGGAGCAACGCGCAGCAGCTTCTCTCAGGTCTGACAGAGAGATCTCGTTCGGTCGTACCTCGTTTCCTCTTGACACAGAGGATCCTTGCAACAGAGGCGAGATTGATACCGTGTCACCGTGGATCGGAGCGAGGAAATAATCCAGGTGACTCATTCAATGCGTAGCAACGCTCGTGCACGAATAGAACTCCAAGCTAAACTGAATGAAAAACAGTCTTTCGAAATTGTCTTGAAAAATCGCCAGTTTTCGTCAATGAATATCTTCATAATTATTTGACGGTTGTTGAAAGCTTCGGGTCGCGGTGCGGAGCTGTGGTTTAGTTTCTGGGCTTGCAGCTAAGTTTTTTATTCAACTGTTTCCAAAGTTTCACGAACGTTTCGGTTAACGTCGTCGGACGGAGGAGCCACCTGATGCCTGGTTGCTTCTCTGGAAAGGCTTTTCGCTGGAGTTTGCCGAGTTCCACTCGCGCACACGAGCGTTCGTACGCGTCGTGTCTGCCAGACAATCTGCATAAAGTGCCTTCACCGATAAGAGAACCCCGACGAGAGAACCGTCTGATTTTATTTTCCGACGTACGCATGGCGCGGCGTCAACGAACTCTTTCGCCGTCGAGCGCGAGTCATGTATTAACTCCAGCCGACGGCCATTATGGGCCATTATCATTTATCGCCAGGCTAAAATCGCCGTTTTAGTCCTTTCTTAATACGATCTTCGTATAGCTTGGCATGCAAATGCGCCCATTATCGCCAGTTCGACGCGCCTCTCTATATTCGTCGCGACGAGAAACACGGACGTCGTAAAACACGATCCTGACAATCCTGCCCGGGATAAATAATCGCACGAGTTAATCAAACCGCTTATATGTATTAAGAACGACGATCGCTAGTTTGTGGGCGGAGGAGCTTTGGATAAGCTATTATTACGAAGTTCGTACGCGCGCGGTCTTCATTGTATCACTCGATGATCAATGAGTCAAAGTTCCAGCCGCGTTTCAAATATGTACGTTGTGCGCAGCCGGCGCGCACGACTCGATTTGAATGAAGAGAAAAGAACCATCTCCGAACATAGTTTAGTTTGTATTTCACTCGTACACTCGTACTCGCAGCGCCTTTCGTCTCGCTTGTATTTCAAAGGATAAAAATACAAGCGTGCTGAAAAAATAGGTAGCGACCGAGTAGCGGAAGATACTTGAAATTCTCCAGTACGTTTGCACGTCGGCACACATCCTGTCTCTCTCAATTGTCATTTCAAGTCATTCCGAGATATCTAAAAAAATAAAGGTTCCCCTCTGCCGTATCTCCCTGAAAATGGCGTTCTCCCGAGCCCTTTGTGGAAACAAACAATCCGAAAGGGGGCATAAACTCGCGCAAATGATGATGCTCTTTCGAGCGGCATTGAAACTCTGCGAGTATCTTTTACTTCTGGTCGTCGTGCTTTTTAAATCCTCTTCATTTCCCAGCAGCTAGACGTTTATTTTCATTAGATCAACCGAACAATCTCTACCGCGTCTCGTCGTTTCGTAACTGTGCTGTATGTTATTACTGCCCGTTATTCTCCCCGAACTAAACTAAACCCTCGGTGTTCTCCTTGAAAGGCGAGGATATGTTGAGCGGGAAGCGTCCGACTCTCGGCTGACGGCTCTCGTTTGTCGGCTAAGCGAACAAACTCCATCGTTCCCGAGCGATTCCCGGCTAATCGGGTGAGACGAGCGGAGCGAAGATGAAACTGCACGGTGCGATTCGTCAGCGACGAGATAAGACCCGAACGAACGATTCGCCAGCGAAATTGACACGGTAATGCCGCCGTACTGCACACACCGAGACTCTGGACGCAAAAACTCAATTGACCGCGAACGCTGGCACGTACGAGTGTCGCGTAAAATATCGGTCACATCCGTGCAATTGCTCCGTTTCAATAATCTGTCGTTTAATGCAGATAAATGAGAGAGAGAGAGAGAGAGAGAGTTCCTCCTCGCTCGTCCGGAGGACCGAGGATCAACGTATGCGATCGCGAGAACGAATCTCTGCGAGCCCACTCGTCGCGCGCCCCCGGCTTAAACAAAAAGTAAATCTGGACATGGCAAAATTGCGAACGAGTCCAATCGCGTTTGGACGGTCCCCAAAAAGTTTTGCGCGTAATCATCGAATTGATAAATTTCGCGAAATTTCGCTTCCGGGTGTGCCCGATATGTCACCAGAACGAATACTCGTTAAAATTCCTCCCGCTGTCGCTGTAGGCTTATTAATGGTATACACGCCGTTCGGCGTTGTCGAAGCTTTAAATGTCGAAAGTGCTGGTCAGCGACGGGCAAAGTAAATAGCTGTATAAGCAGCGAGTCGAGAGAAAAATTTCACAGCGATACGGCTCTCGCGGCCAGACGGATAGCGTATAACGTTATAGTAGCACCCTTTAAATCTCGGCTAATAGAGCGCTGAGAGGTAAAACGGGCCAAGAGACTCGAATGGCTTATAAGGAAAGTGGCGTCGTGGATGAGGTGATTTCACGGTACGAGTATTTTAAACCGCGGGTTCCGTAAACTCGCGTCAAGAATGAAGTCTTCACGGTTCGCTGGCGCCTGGCATTTTCACCCTCTTCTACAACGGCGCGACGGTATCGCGACGGCTCTGAATTTTCGCGACACCGCCGTTCGCCGTGAAAGGTGAGAGAAATACGCTGTCCTGCGTGGAGAGAGTTTCACCGTCTTACCTCACCCACCCTCGCTTACCCTCGCGCGTTTCGGCACGACCCGTCCTTCCCTTTATCAATTTTCCTTCTCTTAACCCCCCGCGGTTACTCACCACCGCTATCTTTTATATTAATCACGTCACCGAAAGGAATTATTACATTTCGCCTGGTCCCCGCTTTCTTGTGTTTTGTTCAAGGAGGCGAGAACGGCAGAGCAAGAGAGAGCAAGGGAGAGAGAGAGAGAGAGAGAGAGAGAGAGAGAGAGAGAGAGAGAGAGAGAGAGAACATATGCCTCGAAGAAATATAGTAAAAGGGAAGCACTTAGGAGAATTCCGCGTTCCGAGGAGATTCTTCCGAATGAAATGTCATAATACTCGAAAGGGAGTTATGTACGCGAGGTAGATAGCCTCGGGGACGACTGAGCCGTCGGAGTGTCTTGCAGCGGAACAAATGGACTTACGGGACTCGTACGTGTACTTACTTGCGGAATTCTAAACAGCCGTAGGAGATTGGCCACTTGAATCGACGTTACCGAACTGGCCGCGCCGACCACGCCGCTGATTATTTTTCGCACGGCGGTCTTGTTGCAGTGATACTCCGCACCGTCTATGTTGCTGATCGAGCCTAGGGAGAACGAACAGATACATTTATTATATTGGAGTTACCGCGTCTCGTCGATATACGGTACAGTAATCTCGAACGCGCGCGTGCGGTTTCGCTCCCGTTGTCGCTCCCGTCGTCGTCGTCGTCGTCGTCGTAGTCGACGAAGCTCTAATTTGCATTTCCCGAGAGCCTTTGTGAGAGCGACCTCGGCGGATTGGCGTGTGCGTTATGATACTCGTTTATTCGAGCGAAAATGGACTTCCCTGCGCTTCCCCATCAATTTTTATCCTTTCACGAATGTATCGAGCCCGCGATCATTCGCGAAATACGTCTGAATGCGTTGCTACGCTTTCGCCGTGATGAAAAAACTACAATGCGAGCGGATCAACGATAATCCCGCGTGACTGACCAAGTCGAGCAGTTTTCTGTTTTCCTGTTTCTTCGTCATCCACGCGGCAGTCCACGCGGTTACCTGCTTGTAATTTGTCCGAAAGTTGAAGCGTTTGGAATTAGCAGTTTAATCAGCTTAACTACGTTCCCATTGGCTCGAGCTTTACGTCGACCGAAGTATGTGCCAGCTAAACGCCCGTTGGTGATATTAATGACGCTATATTTTGTTCGCATCGTCAATATTTTCATTATTGCACTGGATATACTGGTCAATTAATCCGTGTGCGGTAATAATTCATTTTGCGGCGCAAACTGTGCCAAACGGTTGAATCCATAAAAGAAGCGACCGAAGTAAACACCCGATCGATAATGGAGGTCGCGGCGGTGCGCGATTTATTGAAAAATAAATGGCGGAAATAACTTGCGTATTTTTCATTTAATGTGCATGTATTTATTTATTTATCGCTTCAGTCTAGCGCCAGCGTCGAGGCTGCTTCTCTTTCATTAAGCGGTATTTCGCGCAAATTGCACAATTAATTTAATAATCAGCATCGCCCAACTTTTATCGGCGCGCGTTTATTTGATCATACGCGCGCGCGTGCGTACGTGCGTATGCGCTGCTGAAAGATTAAACAAATTGATTTTTGTATCCGGCGCGAGTGCGTTCTTCGTTGTATGTTGTCAACCGACGTATCAGGAGGAGCCCCGTGTACGGGATTGAAATTAATGAAACTTTACGACGTACTTCGCGCGACAAAGCCGTCGGCGTTTTCAATCCGGTCCTTCTTATCGCCCAGACTTGACTCCACGCAGTTTCGCGCGGTGTAACACCTGTTGAATCGGTCGTCCTTACGTTATCCGCCGTTGACTCGCAGTTGCGTCGGTTACAAATCACAAGTATGCAAGAAGTTCAAACTCGTCGTACGGCATTTGCCGGTAAACTGGCGGTAAAATCGCATCGAACCTGCGCGGTTTCTCCGAACGCTGTGTTTTCGAACGTTGCCAAGCACGCCCGTCGTAATTCTCTGTTTTCTCGCGATTTTTCCAGATCAAGAGAGAGATGTGCCGACATCAACATTCCCCTCTCCCCCCCCCCTTATTGATAAGCCCTTATCGATAAGGTGATGCAAACAGAGATATCGGGGAAAGCCGTTGGTTTCGGATCCTTTCACCACTTTCTTCGCCCCGTTTCCATCCTCCAACCAAACCTTTTCCCGCAAACCCGACATTTGCACGTTCGGAAGCACGTTAAAGACTGCGCGAAGAAGCATCAGGCACGTCGTCGGCGTGAAAGCTCGTCGACTCCCCTCCCCCCCCCCGCCCCTCAGAATTTATAACCCGAAGAGCGCCATTTTCTCCGGCTTCGCATCCGGCACGTGGCCGGATCGTGTTTACCGATGAAATTCGCTCTTATTTCTACACATAGCCAGTGTAAATATTTGCCGAAGGTTCAGCAAGGCAGATATCGAGGGGGCGGCGTAGCCGAGCAGTGACCTTCTTGAGGGTTTCGAGTTTTTCATCAATCTCTCCGCTTCCCTCTCTCTCTCTCTCTCTCTCCCGCTCTTTCTGCCGGCGCCTCATTTTCCTCGTGGAGCGCGTGCACCAGCGACGAATCAATGGAAATGAGTTTACGGCCTTGCTGCGGCCCACAAAGCTCCGTACATATCCGTTCGATCCCTGAAAATTGAAGCGCGTTGAGCGAACGGCGTAAGAATATAAGGATGCGCGCGAACAGAGTTCTATCCGTAAAGCGGAAAGCGGAGACCGGCGCGTATTCGATCGGCCGTGGCGGATGATGCCGCCGATCCGCCATCCTCTTTTCGATTCTGCTCCGTGTAGGAAGACGAGACCTGGTTTTCACGGATCTCCGCACACGATAATGCATATCCCTTTCCTCAGTCGAGATTATGAGCTCGAGACGCGAGACTCGAGAGCGCGACGAGGGTGCAACGTGGAGATGCAATCGAAATATATGTTTACCACGAATGCGAGTCGCAGACTCGCTGATGAAACATTGGGGAGAAACGGACGAGCAACGGTGCAGCCCGCTTGTCCCTTTGTGTTTATTATCCGCTAAAAAGTCACGAGTAAAGTATAGATGACTGGAAAATTGCGACGTATATAAATTTCGATAAAATTATACGTGACTTTCTGCAAAGTCCAAAGTTCTCTGCGCGAACGGGTCGCGACGACGACTCGGCTTGTTTTTCAGTCGGCACGCTGTTGGCTGACGGCACTCTTTTGTCGTCGATTGAGATAAATCTTTTGCTCTCAGTTTTATTTCACAACCTAACCCCTTCGCGTCAACATCACGCCCATTATTTCGACTCTCAAGTATTTCAGCCGGTCGAGAAGGTGGGTCTTCGTTAATTATCTTGGCCAAAGTGGGAAAGTACTCCGGACAAAACTTACAAATTGATGGATTGCTTGATCTATCTTGATCGTTGCACTCAACGTAATTGGCAAACTCATTACGAAGAGACCTGAAGAAGTGTATCACCTCTGTACGATAATATCATCAGCGGCTGTGCGCGCGCGCGCGTGTGTGTGTGTGTGTGTGTGTATTTGTTACATTTTCCTCAATAAATAGATACTTATACGAAGCTCTCAGCGAGAAACTTCACGTTGCAAGACTTGACGAAACTTCATTCTGCCAACGAGAACAGATGGGGCAGTCGATTCGTGAGATGTGCCGATTGACTGAAGATTTTACTCGCAAATCGCAAACAAGTGGCAGTTGTACAAAAGAAGATGGAAGTCTCTGCTGGGAGTTAATAGGAATCAGAGTGCTCGGTTACTTCGATACTCTCCTTTTCGCAACGCATGCTAATTGAAACAAAGTTGCCTGTAATGATGAGAGTGACTACCGGTACGAGAGAAATAAGGAAGCGGAAGTGAGTCATTTTCCTGAGACAGCTACGGTGGCTATATAGAGACGTCTCAATGCGATGCAACCGATAGACGGCGCGCATCTGCTGACTGACTGACTTGTATTATTCGCGAACGTAAATCTCGAGCGGGGTACCGATCGATACAAATTATTCCAGATAATAGGTCGTTAACGTTGTGAATATTCGCGCTCGCTCGTACACCCGGCGAGTATCGTCCCAATTTTCGGCTCATTGGCTGTTGCCAAAATTACGATGGTCCGTTTGCATCGGAAACCGCACGTCACGCTTGAGAAACGTCCAACTGCTCCACGGCTCTCCGACGTGCCCGCAGGTTTTATATACACCGTGCGATAAATTACCGAGATTTTAGAATTCACTCGTAGCCTCTCGCGTCGATGCGTTTCTGTCGAAGGAGCGAAATCGGATAAATCGTGTTTGCATGAAAACACAAGTCACGAACTGTAATATTTCCCCGTCTGCTGCGGAAGGCTGTGGCCGTTGCTCGACATTGACGTTCGCGCAGTTAATAGACAAACAGCGCGGCTCGCTCGAAATTCGTGACAAATTTCTCGAGATTTATGAGGAAGCGGAGATCTGTGCTCGCCGGAGAAGCAAGTTTCGGTTTTCGAGGAGAATCACGCAGACAAATAATTGACACGTCAGTCGAGACAATTTCCGTACAGTCCGGAAGTAAAGGAATGAAATCTTTTAAATTTTATAATACAACCGTCGCGAATTTACGACGGAGTGTGAAGAGTTAATAATGTAGGAGGAAGAGCATAATAACGCTGTATGGAACAGTGATCGATCACAAATCAATCAATGAACTGCTCGATCATGCATCGTGATGATGTACTGACGAGAATGCGTGACCGCGTGAAAGCTCTCAGTACGGTGTCGCGTGTTGCCGAAGACGTGCAAGATGTGCAAGATGGATCAATAACTATCAACACTATGGACTTTGAAACTACGACAGTTTAGCAAAAGTATCCACAGCGACGCCACTCGCGAGACAATTCTGCTCCGTGCAATCTTTGCTCCGCCAAGATTCTTCTCCAACTTGCACAGTTTCTGCAACATTCGAGATGCTAACAGCTATTTGTCTCAATTGTTATCTCCCCAAATTATTCGCCCAATCTATCAATTTCTGCAAGTGCTTTCATCGGTATCGCTATTCATGTTTCTTCCTCACAGATCCCGAATAAACAACGAAACAACTCTTTGAGATCCGAAGAATCACGTAGAAGTATAGAAACGTAATACGATTGTCCGGGGGATCGCTTCGCTACGTGAGAGCGTAGAGTCCTGCAAGAAAATGATAAATGTCCCTGCGCGAATACTGTTCGCCTTTTTAGAGACAGTTACTTTTGATACGTTGAATTTCAATGTTACTCGCAACACATGTTCACGTCACGTCGCGGAGTTTCTTGCCCTCGAATCTCCACGGGCGACATTACCGGCGTCCCAACCTGGCCCCTTTCGCCTTCTTCGGCTCTGCTCGCTCCACGACACACTTTTTCCCCGTTCCATTCTAGCTGGTCGTTTCAATTTATAGCGACCGCAAGTTTACAGCGACTGGTACAAAGGTAGTAGTTGCGCGACACACGTTAGCACGCGCGGCGGAGAGGGAGTTTTCCCGCCGAGTCCGTCGGCCGGGTCTTGCGCGACTAAATGTAACGGGATACCGGAAAATTAATTATACGTTTAAACTCGCCGAGACTTCTTTTTCGCCGAGTTCCT